ACGCGTCGAAAGCGTCCATCGCGAGCTGCACGGGCCGCAGGGCGCCCGCGCGCGCCGGATGCGCGAAGACGTCCGCGAGCATGGGCTCCGGTTCGACGCAGACAACGCGGCTCCCGCCCGGCACGTGCCGCGCGAGGAAGTCCGCCGTCGTGCCGATGCCGCAGCCGAACTCGAGCACGGACCGCGGCCGCAGCCCGTAGGCCAGGTGCCGCGCGAAGAACGTCGCAAAGTTGAAGCCGTAGACCGCCAAGTGCGTGCACGCGGACCACTTGCCGCCGTCGCTCCCCAGGTTCGACCCCTTGCCGGACCGCACCAGCTCGTCGATGCTCGGGAACTTCGTCGCCACGTGGTCGACGCAGGACAAAGGCAGCAACCGCTCCGAGCCGAGCTCCGGCTTTCGTAACGGCGGGCCGTCGCGGACCCAGACCGTTCGCCCGCCGCCGAACATGCAGCACGCGGCGCCGGCCGTCACGCCGTCCGCGCTCCGCCGGCCCTTCGCCGTCGCCTCGTCCGTGAGCGTCGGCCTCGCGTCGTTGGGGCGGAAGAAGTCGTAGCGCGCCCACCGCGACCAGTGCTCGTGGCACGTCATGTTGGCCAGGCTCGTCCGACCGCGGTTCGGCCCGGCGACCCACTCGAGGTTCTGGCACGTCGCGCGACAGTTCGTCTCGCCGGGCGCGCAGGGCGCGGCGATGGTCTTTTGGGGGGGTGTTTTTGGTAGCGGCGCCGTGTGGAGCGGGAGGACGACGAAGATGAGGAAGCCGAGGGCGAAGGCCGCGGCGGCGACGCCCTTGACCGTGATCTTCTTGGGTTGCTCCTTGAGCTTCGTGAGCAGCTCGGCGCGTTGGGTGATGGTACCGAGCATGTCGCGTGTCGAGGGGGGCGTGAGGCGCTGGCTGGATGCGTCTCGAAGCGTTGGTGTTACGAAGAGGCGCGGTACTCTCAGGCGCGAGAGTTTTGTGGCGCGCCCACACGGGTCGACCGGTTGGGCAAGTTTTTGCCTTTGGCGAGTTTTTGTGGCAGGAGCGAGCAGGAGGGTCCCCCATAGACGCGGAGCGGGGGCGCGAACGACCGAGACGGCACACACAAAAACAGACGAACAACGATCACGAGATCATGGACCCGGAGCTCGTGGCGAAGAAGCTAGAATACGAGGCGAAGAAGGCGCGGCTCAAAGAACTGCGAATGCGGCTGACCTGCACCATATGCGGGGCAAAACCGAAGACGTTGCTCAACTGCCCCTGCGGGACGACACAGTGCGCGCCCGGCGCGACGCGCGCGAACGGGTCGGGGGCGGCTCGACGCGGCCCGGGGCGCCGTCGCGCGTGACCTGGCGCGACCTCGCAGGTATTGCTCGACCGATTGCCAACGCATCGACTGGCGCGACCGCGGC